CGTAGCGGGAGGGATTGCTGATTGATTGCACAGCGCCTGGACCCTGAGAAGCTCGAAACCTTTGCATTCTCTAAAACACATTGAAAACTCCCACAGGGAGCACCTGATCTTTTCAACCCATCCCATTCCTGGAAAGTAAGGAAAAGAGATGGGAAGTTCTTGGGCTAACCTTTGAAGTCTGCAAAACCTGGCTTCAAATCCCAGTTCTGTCACTGACCAGCTATAATCAAGTTATATACTTCTCTCAGCCTCAGTGCCTCATCTGTAACCTTGAATTCAATTAACGGCCCAGTACCCGCTCAGTTACTCAGGTCAAAAGCTCACTGCTGAGCCCTGGGCCACCAGGCTCCTTATCAGCCCACAGCCTCCTGATATGTTACCCACCAGCTGGAGTTCCTTATGCTCCTGGAGGGGAGCAGAACTGAACTAAGAGACCAAGGAGCCAAATGGAGAGGTGCAGGGGAAGAAATGTGCTGTGTTGCTGGGGGGGCTACAGAGACCCTCCTGACTCTGCTGGTGGGGCTAGAACCATGTCTAAACTCCTGAACCGTTTCAGCAAAACCCAGGAGGGGAACTAAAAGCTGCTGTGGAGTTCACTGAGGCATAGTTTTACCTGTGCGACAGGAAACGATGCTGGGGGCGGGGGTTGGAAGTGAAAGTGGGGGTGGTGTGGGGTTTGGGGAGGGGAGCTGTAACTCTCTAATACTGGAAACATTTGACCTTAAATAACAAGGTTATGCAAGAGGCTGATGCAGAAAACTGCAGTTTACTTACTTCCCAGTCACTAGGGAGTTGCTAGAGCAGATGGGCATTTGGGCACCCTGGCCTTTCCCATCCCGGAAGCTAGGCCAGGTGCTCTCAGGTGGGAAAATGAGGAGTAGAAGTATAAGTCAGGCAGAATAGGGCAGAGGCTATCACTGCCCTTGACTTTCGTGGATGAGGCTGGAAAAGCCAGCTTGAGAGAGATGGACCTGGAAATTTCACTAAGAGGTGTCTCGATTGTCGCCCATCTGCTCCTTTCCTAACAGAGATTTTCGTATCTCGTGGCTTAATCCCTGGGATCATCTGCTGATCCCAGCCCGAGATCTACCCCACTGACCGTCATTGCTAATCTAGACTTGAAAAGTAGTTAGGGAATTCCAGAGCTGGGAGGGACTTCCAAAGGTTACCAAGACCTTAAAGAAGGTCTGTGCCTAATACACGACAGGAGAACGCTGAGCCTAGTCGTCAAGGAGTTTATATAAGTATTTGTTTAGCGATTCCTCTCAGTCCTGATCTTCCAGGCCTCACTCTCTGCAATTCAAACCTATATCTTTTTATTTGGCTTTTCTAGAAGTGAGTAGAAACTATAGCACACGTTATCTGGGATAAATGTAAAAATGACACATGCCTATAAAAATAAGACATACTGGGGACCACAGGACAACCTAAGAACGTCTTAGGTTATGTTCTGAGCGAAAAGCAGAAGGAAGGTGACATAAGAAAGATGACTATACATCATTTATCAACCAAATTAGGACACTTTTGTGACCAACTGAATTCTCTCCCCAACTGGGGAGAGACCTGAGAAAGGGTCTCTTGCCCTTCCTTTTGGGGTTCTTCCTCTGTTTGGTGTTGCAACTTTGTAACGAGACCAAAGCTGAGCGTTCCATAGCTCAAGCTTTATTCAACGGCCAAAGAATGAACAAGGGGGAGCTGAACTCACAAATCAACTTCTCAGCACTTGGGGTAATTAAGCAGCTATTATAAGGGGTCTAGGTAATGAAGGGGAGGAATACTCAGTTATTCGGGGAAACCGGCAGGTTTCTCTTGGGAGTAAGGGTGCCACCTCTTTTCTTTCCTTATTTGGTTATATCCTGCTGTTGCCATGGCAGTGGTAAACTGTCATGGCATTGGTGGGTGTGTTATGTAGCATGGCAATGTATCACAACGAGTGTATAATGAGCTGCGGGGTCTATGTCAAGTCAAATCAGACTGCCATGTTGTCTTTAACCGGTTTTAACTGGATTTGACCAATGTCTCAGTCATCTTCTCCTTCCTCTCTTTGTGGTTTCCTGCAAGCTGAAGAGAACGTGCTAGGCTTGCTCTGAGCAGGGTTGTGGTTAATGTCTTATGGGGTCAGTGGGCTGAGTAACACTTGAGAGTGAAAGGGGCATCAAACACAATGGGCATTAATTGAGCTGCAGCAAGGTGCAACACCTGGTCACCCTGGATATAAGATAAGATACATAAGATAACAAAGAGAAACCCAGACTACTCAACTATATTTTATTTATAGCTTCCAAGTTAAAATAACAACAATCAACATTTTTAAGTTGGAGAGGATAGAATAAATATGACTAAGAAGGAGCTGAGTGCCAAGATAGTTGTTATTGGTAAGAGAATATACAGCTGTTATAAATTCATGCATTCACGTGTTAATTCATTTCCTACACATTTGTTGAGTACCTACTTTGTTTCAGCTACTGTGCTAGGTGATACTCAGATAGACAAGACAACCCAATAATTTACAGAGAGGTGGATTCACATACACAAGGATGGTATGCTACATGGGAGTAAATGCTCTAATACAGGAATAAGCAAAATGCTATAGGAGCTGAGGTCTCCAAGTCCAGATCAGTAACATTCTAAGATATTAAAACACTTTATAGATATAATTTTGAAAAATTTTACTGTTGGTACTCTTTAAGAAATTATAGAGAACTAAAGATTTTGTTCAAAGGACCAACTAGGTTATAGAGCTACTCAAGCAGTCTTGGATTAAATGAATGGAAATACTGTTCCCCTGGTCAGACCATATCTAGAATTTTTCTGTTTGCCATATTTTAAATGGACCATTGACAAAATGAGATGGGTATATAAAGGAGGGTGACTCGCATGGTGAAGGATCAGGAAAGCAAGTCATATATATAGTGTGACCATTATGTCCCAGTTTACGCCTATTGCTGTCATCCCATCCAATTATTACCCCTTTCCACTCTCAAAAATATTCCAGTTTGGATAATAAATTATATGGTCTCCCTACATATGGATAGTTAATATTTATTAGTGCCATTTATTGTGTGCCAATGTTTGTCATGCAAGATCTCACTTAATCCCTATCACAACCCTATGAGATAGGTGGTATATGATTATTCCCATTTTTATGGATGAGGAATCTGAGTCTCTGAGAGTTTAAGTATGCATCCCAAGGTCATAAAGGTAATGAACAGGGCTGACTTATCCACTAGGCACAATGCCTAGGGTCTGCAATACTTCTAGGGGCCCATAAAAATGTTTTATTGACTTTTTTAAAATCAGAAGAAAAGGATCTTTTAGGTTGATGGAAATGTTTTAATACATAATATTAATATATTTGTTTTTATACCAACACAGTTATAGAGTATAATTTTGTGTAGGTTTTTTTTTTTAAATGAAGGAAGGGGTCCACAAGGTAAAAACACGTAGTGCCCACGAAAGTCATAACGTGGCCCTGGTAATGAGCGGCAGGACTGAAATCCAAACCCAGAGCCCAAGCTCTTAAACACTAAATGAAAAGCAAGACAGCTGAGGGAACAGGAGGAGGGCACTCAGAGCATCATCTGGCTGTCGTCAGCTATCTGAAGGGTGGCCAAAAGAAAGACCACACCTCTGTGCTTGTTTGATGTTTCTTTCCTGCCCTCTGCCCCACCTATGCTTGTTAATATCTTACCCAAGCTTCAAGATAGAGCTGAGTTGCTACCATCTCTATGATGCCCTCCCTTACTCTCATCCTTGGAATTATTTTCACTTCCTTCTGTACTCCTGCAGCTCATCTTTGTATTTATATTATAGCATGTACCACATTCTGCCATTGTATGCATGTTTTTCTCTCTTAAGAATCTGTAAGGGACAGGGACCATATACTCCTTATCCTCGTATATCCCAAATAGAGTGGTTTAAATATAATATGGGCTCAGCAACCATGAGCTGAGTTGATTTTCTTCCTCAGCTCATTTTAAAGATACACTTCTCAACAATCAGGGACGGCCCATATTGGAATGGGCTGCCTTTGAGATACTAAGCTCCAGACATGGAAAATGTTCAAGCCGGGCAGGGAGCGCATGGAGGGGATTCTTGTATTGGTTGGAAGGTTGGCCTAAAAGTCCTTTAATGGCCTTTCCAACTCTGAGTCTAGGGTTTTAGAATTCTGCTTGCAGCCTTGAGAGGCAGCACAGTATAATGGCTGGGAGTGTGGGGTCTGGAGACAGACTGCCACGGTTTGACTCCTGACTCGTCCGCTTATTGACTTTCTGGACCTGGGCAAATATTTAATTTCTCAGAGTCTCAATTTCTTCCTCTGTAAAATGGGGATAATAATTTTACCTACCACATAGAGCTGTTTAAGATTAAATGAGTTAATATATGTCAAGAACCAGCACCTGGCAGAGTATGAACTATACAAATGTTTTTCAAATAAATAAGATAAAAATATTTATGATTGCTCCTTTCTTCCCCCTTCACTTTGTCCATTTATGTTTTGAAATCCAGAGCTGAAGCTTTAAAGAGCCTGGACCAAAGTATAACCCAAAGGAAGGCTGACTTCCCAACTCAGGTATATACTGTCCCTGATAATGGGATCCCATATCATGCTTGCCTTTTGGACGGCTCTCCAAGGAGCTTCTTTCACCCATCTGAAGTGCCAGGCCCCTATTTCAGAATCCAGGGAGTAGTAGACATCCTAGCTCCTTTCTTCATCTCTTGGTTGTGTTGGCATTGCTGTAGCAAGGAGGGACTGCTTCATCTTTTGGACATAAGACACACTTCCTGGCTTGGCAGACAGTCAGAAAACCTAGATTTTAGTCTTAGCTCAGTGGATCATCTGGAGCCAATCATATACTTCCTCTGCGTCTAAAGCAACCAGCAGGACTTCACTTCAGCCTGGCTGGCTTCTGAAACAGCAGCATTACTGCGAGCGTTAGGGAAATGACAGCGAGTCTGGTGACTGTCAAAGAACAAAAGCTCCCTGAAATCAGACATACCCGAGTTCAAATCCTGGCTCTGCTGGACACTGTGTCTCCTTTGGGAAGTCAGATCATGTAAGCTCAGTCTTTTCTGTAAAAGGCAATAAGAATTTCACAAGGTTATTGTAAGGATTAAATATGGTGATGTAAGTAAACTGTTTCACATATAGGCCCTCAAATAATGTAACCATATTTGCCCGTGTTCAACACGCATTCCCCTACATGTACGAACATCACCCTCTTTCTGTATACCCCTGTTATGATAGGAAGCCCAGAGAAGATGTGAAATAACAGATTGACTTCACTGCAAACAAGTTCACATTATCTCTCTGCTCCTCCAGGATTCAATATTTACATGAAGGAGATAATTTTCGCCCCTGAAAACCACTTTCAAACCAAGTATGCTGAGTTCAGACTTCTCCTCCCCAAAAATTTCACTGTGGAATGGTGGTGGTTTTATTGCCTTGTGCGTTTTATATGGTGGCAAATGTGGCTAGTCTCCCCTCATTGGTCCTTCCCCCAGCCCTGCCTCCTCCCTTCACACTTTGGGTGATGACAAGCATTAATCTCACTTCTAAAATGGAGAAACGAAAGAAAAAATGTGCCTGGCTGGAGGTCATAGACTATGTGTCTAGTGGAGCTGGGAATAATTGGGAGGTGATGAAAGAACTGAGGGAACTAGAGATGTCTCCTTTGATAGAGAGACGATTCGGAGACTATGGTAGCCGTATTTTAGCAACCACCATTCCCACTCACTTTCTGCAGAGTCTCTTTTTCCAGGCCTCTATGCAGGAAGCAGCTAACTGCTTCTTCTAGACCTTTAAGAGAAGAGAGAGGGAGAGGACTAATAGGCAGAGACACTCTAGCTTCTCTACCAAGAAACACAAGCATGACTCTCTGCCCAGGCCTTGATTCCATTACAGAGACGGGCCCTGAGTCAGGAAACGCCATCTAATCCTAAAGCTCCAACCTGTAATCCAGACAAGGGGATGGAAGGCCCACGATAAAAACAGCACAGTTCCAAGTACCTTGTCCAGAAGGAAAGAACGCACTTGTGGCTCTCAATCCTGCCTGAGCAACAGGATCACCTAGGGATTAAAAACAGGCATTTCCTGGGCCCCATTCCAGAATCTGTGCTTTAAACAGACGCCTCAGGTGTGCAGCCAGGGATGAGAAGCCCTTGACCCAGAAGTTCTCAAGCTTGAGCATGAATCACCTGGAAGGCTTTTTAGAACACGGATTGCTGGGCCCCACCCCAGAGTTTTAGATTCATTTGGTTTGGAGAGGGGCCCAAGAATTTGAATTGTCCCATGTGATGTTGATATTATTCGTCCAGAAACCACACTCTGTGAACAACCTGCACAGCCTGTCTCACTTTGGCCTTGATGTCAAACAACTCCCATGGCCTTTTCCTCAGTTTGCCCCTGCACTGAACGACTGCTGAGGGAACTGGAATTAGCCCCAACCCTCAGTTATGGAGTCCATCTCTACCCTGTGTATCACTACAGAAAACAATCAGCTCACAACTCTCCCGAGGTCACCGGGCTAAGCAGAGGGTGACACACAGACACACATCTCAAGCCACCTGCTTTGTAATGTAAATTTTCCCCTCCACAACTCCTGGCCCCCCAAAGGGCAGGCTGGCCCAGGAGGGAACAGCAGCCTTTGACCTCACCTTTACATTGGGGCCTACCCATACAGAGTGCAACTGCGGGACCCGAGTCTCCATGCAGATCCCCAAATCAACTTTCCAGCAGGAGATAAGCTGAACTCTGAGAACAGAAGCCTAATCTCGTTACATATACGAGAGTTCTCAGGCCTCAGAACACTCAAGCTTCTTCTCCAAGACTAACGACTCCATCGCTTCTGCTCTTGCCCCTCCTTCAAAGGCGTTCCTGAGCTTGTAGGAAGGGGCAGGGACTAAGGGGCTTTTCCCCGTAAAATATGGGAAAAAGTCCCAGTGTAGGTTTTTAGAAAACAGGGTTTCATGACTCGTACAGAACCTGAGAGTATGACACTCCAAATAACGCTCCACCACATCTGAGAAAAGGCAATCTAATAAATAGTCTCAGTGGAAAGGTTGCCACAAATTTAACTGTGTGTAGCTTGTTATTATTTTTAATATTCTATGCTTTCTCTGTGAAATTGGGAGGAGTGGATGCTTGCATTGCTACTCTTGGAAGTTTCTTGACAGTGCTATTAACTGAAAATTTGGCCGGGGATGAGGGAGATGAGCGAGGAGGTGATCCAGAGTGCATCCTCTACTCTGAGAGGTCTATGGGACTTGATGCCCAGCAAAGAGACCTGAAAATTGCTTAGCACTTTACAATTTACAATCCCGTCACATAATTCTCTGTGAAGTTTTACAGAAGAGGAAAGGAGGCCCAGAGAAGTAGCGTGACTTTGCACTCAGCTAGTAAATGGTAATGGTATGTATGATTGAGATTCAAATCCAGCCTCTTGACCTCAAATCCAACCCTCTTACCACCCCAGCTCAGCTGGTGCAAATACAGACCTTGATGCCTGCTCTCCAAAGGCTACTGCGTGGACTGTGGGTAATGTGGGCCCAGAGTGCTACCGAGAATTCCACCCCTTCCTTCCAACTGCTTATTCCTCGTATTTCTGAGGTGTGATGAAACCCAATCAAGAACCACTGCAGGGGCCGGCCCCGTGGCCGAGTGGTTAAGTTCACGCGCTCTGCTTCAGCGGCCCGGGGTTTCAACAGTTCGGATCCTGGGTGCGGACACAGCGCCGCTCAGTGGGACATGCTGAGGCGGTGTCTCGCTTGCCACAACCAGAAGGACCCACAACTAAAAGTACACAACTATGTACTGGGGGGCTTTGGGGAGAAAAAGGAGAAATAAAATCTTTAAGAACCACTGCAGTGGTCAAAACGAAAATTAACTCTAAACTTGCATGTGCTATCTTAGAGAGTTTATTAGACTGAGAGTGGAAGTACATTTTTAAAGCACTGTGATAATTTGCACAGCATATTCTGCCAGTAGTTATAGCAGCACCCTACTTAGGATGTACGTAGGGATCCCAAATTCTTTTTTCCAGTTTTATTGAGATATAATTCACATATAACATTGTATGTTTAAGGTGTACAATGCAATGATTTGACATATGTTTATATTGCAAAATGATTTCAATAAGTTTAGTTAAATTCCATCATCTCACATAGCTACAAAATTTTTTCCCTTGTGATGAGAACTTTTAAGATCTCTTAGCAATTTTCAAATATTCAATATTGTTAACTATAGTCACCATGCTGTGCATTACAGCCCCAGGACTTATTTATCATATAACTGAAAGTTTGTAGCTTTTGACCACCTTCACCCAACTCCCTTACCCCCAGCCTCACCTCTGGCAACCATAAATCTGATCTCTGTTTCTACGAGTTTATTTTTTTCTAGATTCCTCATATAAGCAAGATCATACTGTATTTCTCTGTCTCTGTCTGACTTATTTCACTTAGTATAATGTCTTCGAGGTCCATCTGTGTTGTTGCAAATGGCAGAATTTTCTTTTTTCTCATGGCTGAATAATATTCCATTGTGTGTGTGTGTGTGTGTGTGTATGTATACCACATTTTCTTTATTCATGCATTGTTGGACACTTAGGTTGTTTCATGTCTTGGCTTTTGTGAGTAATGCTGCATTGAACATGGGGGTACAGATATCTCTTTGGATCCCAAATTTGTAAGACCTGCCTAAGTCATCAGGTATAGATGGAAATGTGTAAAAAGTAGAGAACAAGTCTTGTTGGGGGTATGAAAAGAAATACTATGCGACCGCCATGTAATACCACTGTCTACGGTGGAATTTCTGAATTAGTTACTTTGAAGAAAAAATTATTTTCTCGATCCCTCAGTCTCTAGTAATGCCATCTATCTCTGGCACCATTCTGGGAGAGTATTTCTTCCCATAATCCCCTGTATATTGCTGGGATGCAATCAAGGGTCAAGGAAAACACACCTGTGTGAAGCTCCTGTTACTCATCTTTCTGTAGTCAGATTTTCTCTAAAATGTGAAACTTCTCTCTTGGGAAGCTTCAAAACCTCCAGATGATTGCTCTGAGCTCTTAGGACACGTGACCAAAAGGAAACAGAACCTTCTTCCTCTTCAGCCCTCATCTTTGTGTGTGTGTGTGTGTGAGGACTGCGGGAGTTTCCTCAGCAGTGCCAGAAAGCTGCTCGGTGTGTGTTGCAAAACAGATTTTTAGTGAGAAGATTACACCTTCTGCCCATCACAGGTTCCTCCAGATTTCTTGCTCCTGGGGTTGCTCAGCTGGTTTAAGCCTTGTCTTGGGAGCAATTCCAGCCAACGTGCCTGGAATTGCACATGCAGATGGTAGGGAGAGGCCTCTCTCCCTCTTTCCTTCCTGGAACTGGTGCGCTTCCTCTTCACCCGGCTCCCGGCTGTGCTTGCGCTTTGTGGTCAGGCTGTCCGATCCTGTTTACCTCGCCTCTGACTCCTTCTTTCGACCGCAAACCTGGCTGCCTATTTGAAGGGATTTCTTGCGTTGTCCTGCATTTTCTTTGATTTGGGTGCAGACTCTGTTTCTTTTCCCTAGTGATGGCCAAGAGGAGCTTGTGAAAAGACTGAAACCTGAAGCTGCCACACTATCAAGAACTGATTTGAAACAATTACAAGTGGTTGGGAAGAAATGCCACAAAAACCCATTTACAGGGCCAGCCCTTGGCAGAACTGAGGGATTTCTAGCCAGGTCTTGGTAGTTTAACCTTAGTACTCTCTCCTGCACACGTCTCTCGAGTATCAGGGGCCAAGACTGCCTTCTACTATGTGTGTCACACTCCAGAAACTTGGGGACCCGCCCTCCTTTGGTAGCCGAGAGCTCCTCACTTTAAGTACTGACACCACAGGGTTTCAGCAGAGGTATAGCTCAGAAAGAGAGATAAAAGCTGAATAATATATTTTGCAATAACATCATCATGGGAAGGGGGTGGGATACCCCTGGACAAAGTCTTTTTTTGCATGTGAATGAGGAAACATCTCCTAGCAGGATTCCTGAGGTTTGTAGCAATGCCCTCTTTGGGGAGGACATTCTTTTGGCTTTTTCAACACTCTC